CAATAAAATCCTGGGTCGCAAGTACTCACCTTAATATTTAAAAAAATAAAAAAAAAATATATATATAATTTAATGCTTAAGGAAAAATAAAATCATCACATAATGATTTTATTATCATTAAAATAATTTCAGTAGAAAAATTCATTTTACGTAAATAAAAATCTATTCAGTATTAACTGAATAGATATTAAAAAGGTGAAAATTTATCTATTTTATTTCTTTTGATAACAATCTTATCAATAGAAACATTTTCTCCTAATAAACTATTAATATTGAAACTGTCAGCTTTATAATTAACTAACTCTATATAATCATCATCATCTGATTTGTAAAAATCTTTAATAATATTTACAAATTCTTCTTCATCACAAATTTTAATATTTCTTTTAGATGTTTGTGCCCAAAGTTTTGCTTTAACAGTTGCATATTTTTTTTCCTTTAACTTTTTACTATTATAAACAATAATTCCAAGAGAATCTGGTGAAAATCTTGAAATAGCAGATTCAAAAACTCGTACTATTTAAACAGAAAAATTTTTCAATATTTTTACATTATATAAGAATAACTTTTTCTTTATAAGTTACAATAATATCAATTCCATTATCTCCTTGTGTCACTTTAATTTCATAAACTAATAATTCAAAAGCTTCTGCTATTTTTCGAGTAATTAGTTCGAAATCATAACCAAATTGATAATTTGTTATCTAAAATATAAAAAATAATTATGAGTATGAGAATTCTCTTCACCAGTGTTTGCAATATCAGCATCTTAAAGATATAACTTCAATTCTGATATCAGTTTCTCACAAAATAATAGAATACATCCTCAGCATACAAGTATACATTCAGAATATACTCCTATTTTGTTATGGCAGCATAATTTGAATTCACAAATACAAAGTAAAATGAAACATCCAACTTACTTTTTTTTTTTTAACAGTAGTCATTGTAGTTTATATAAAGAAAAATCTATTTGGTCATAAACTGAATAGATAATTATTAACAATTGAAATTAATGGATTTTCTTTCTCAATTTGATTATTATTACAGTTATTACATAATTTATGATAATGAAATTGATAAAGAAATTTACAATTATCACAACTCTTATCTCTTTTCCATAAACCAAAATATTCACAACATATTTTTTTGGATATGCTTTCTCGATTCTATTTTTCTTATTATGAAAAACACAATTTATATCACATTGTGTGTTTGAAACAGTAATTTAATCTAGTGAACAAAATTTATAACACTTATCACAGATTCTTCTATGTTGATATTTAACATATTTTTTATCATATAAATAAAATTTCATTGAAGGATAAATGATACAGTATATTTCTCTATTAGTTTTTCATTTTATCATCTTTCGCATTTTACATTTTAAATTAGTTTGATTCTTAAACAAAACTATTTATCATTAAATTTTTCAATATCAAATAAAGTATATTGATATTTTGTTTTTCCATATTCAATATATTTTTGATATCAAAACAAAAATGATTATCAATATTGATTGTTGTAATCAATAACTCAGAAAAATAAACATGTCTTATTATAAATAATAAAAAAAATGTTTAAAAATATTTGAGATACTCTTCGTATATGAATTTGTCTTTTGAAAGATAAACATAAAAATATAATCAATAATAATTCAGTTGGTAAACTATCAAGTTTAAAATTCATAATTAACAAGTTTATATTAAAAAAAATCTATTCAGTTTTTGATGACTGAATAGATAATTTTAATTTATTATATAATGAATCAACTCCTTTTTAGCATCTAACTTTAATAATTGAGAGTTATAATTTATTTGATTCCACATATCGATATAATTAATACTTTTCTTTTGTTTAAAATCTATTTCTGCTCTTTCAAACATATAATTAATGATAAATATTTGATCATTTTCAT